TGATGCTACAACGTGGCCTTCAGCCAAGGCAAATCCAACAAGCTGGAGACCTGCTGCTACGAGCGACACACACCCTGCTGTGACACTGGCGGTGCTACAACGTGGCCTTCAGCCGAGGCAAATCCAACAAGCTGGAGACCTGCTGCTACGAGCGACACACACCCTGCTGTGACACTGGCGGCACCGCCGCAACCCACGCACGCTCCGATTGTTGTAAAAAATGAGATCCATGGACATTATCACCCTGATAGGATTCGAACCCTGGCTGCAGGGTGCGCCACTGCCCACCCTTGCCACTAGGCTACAGCTTCAAGCTGAAAATACTTAAGATAATTAACAAACTATCTCTACCGTTCATTGCACGATGAACAACTCAGATTTTCCTGGAAAATTCAGAACCGCATCGCCTTATCGCAAAGCTCTTTTTACCGGTGCCGGGATGTACCGGCAACCAGCTAGCCAATCAGCATATGACATCACATAAGCACTCATATACGGGAGATGTATTTCACTCATTTCTCTAGATTTGCATGCAGTGTATTTTCTGCACTAGGACCCACCATATGTCAGATGAAGGAGACATGCATGCGTGACCATCTCTGCGTGACACACAAGTACTTATGAAGCACGCATGCATTTTGTTTTCGCTTTGATAATTTCAATCACGCATATCTTTTAATCTATAGTTTTATTTTTAAACTTTTTTTATATAATTGTAATGTGTTTTCTAAAATGAGTGAAATCTATCATTTGTAAATGATTGTAATGTGTTTTCTGAATCTAGTGAAATGTGAAACTGACTGGAAGGTTTTCCGAAACTAGTGAAATGTGAAATTGACTGAAATGCTTTCTCTAAAATGAGTGAAACAGTAAAATTCAAACTAGCCAAAGTGCATCCAAGATTGATCTTGTTTTAAAGGTCTTGTCGTGCTGAATTCAAAAATATAAAATATTTCAAAACTGGATATTTAGTTCAAAAGTTATCAACCTTTTAAAATATGGCATGGAAAATAAAGTGTAAGTATTTAGTACGTGCATGCAGCTCGTTCATCTGCTCAATCTCTCACCCTGCCACCTGACAAAAGATACTGCTGTGGACCTCGCCCAACCTTGTATATGTGTTTGTATAAGATTCGTATTGCTAAAAAGGAGAAACAAAAGCATAGTGGGGTCTACCAGCCATACCAATCTCAAAGCAATGTTTGTGGTAGATTCATCACCGGTACATCCCGCCACCGGTAGAAAAACTTATTCGATCGCCTTATCCTCTCAACCAGACCCATCATCTTCCTCCTCCACACGCGCGCATCAGTCACTGGCCACAAGCCTCCTCCCGCCCCAATGGAGGCCGTCCTGCGACATCCATCCCTTTCCCGCCTCAAAGCCCCCAACCCAGCTGCTCACAGAACCCAGTACCTCTCCATCACCGTCCCTCGCCGTCCCCGCGTCCCCAAGCGCCGCCTCGCCGCCGCCGCGCTGTTCCAGGACCAGACCAACCCAAGAACCGCGGCAACAAGCAAGGGGGGCGATGAAGAAGACGAGGAGGGGTACGGAGAGGTGGACCGCATCGTCTCCAGCCGAACCGTCAAGAACGCGGTGTTCGCGGAGGACGGCTCGGCCACCACCGTCACCGCCACGGAGTACCTCGTCGAGTGGAAAGACGGGCACGAGCCGACCTGGATCCCGTCGGAGGCGATAGCCGCGGACGTGGTGGCGGAGTACGAGACGCCGTGGTGGGATGCCGCCAAGAAGGCCGATGTGGATGCGCTGGGCGCGCTGCTGGCGGACGAGGCGCTGCGGCGGGACCCGAACGCCGAGGACGCGCAGGGGCGCACGGCGATGCACTTCGCCGCGGGGCTCGGGTCGGAGGAGTGCCTGCGCTTGCTCGCGGAGGCGGGGGCGGACGTGGGCCACGCGGAGCGCGCCGGCGGAGGGCTGACGCCGCTGCACATCGCGGCGGGGTACGGCCGGGCGACGGGCGTGCGCGCGCTGCTGGAGCTGGGCGCCGACGCGGAGGGCCCCGACGGGAAGGGCCGGACGCCCCTGGAGCTGGTGCAGGAGGTGCTGGCTGCGACGCCCAAGGGCGTGCCAGCGGCGTTCGAACGGCGCCAAGCGCTCGAGGCGGCGGCGAAGGAGCTGGAGAAGGCCGTGTACGAGTGGGGCGAGGTGGAGAAGGTGGTGGACGGGCGCGGCGAGGGCAAGTGGCGGGAGTACCTGGTGGAGTGGCGCGACGGCGGCGACCGGGAGTGGGTGAAAGCGCCGTGGGTGGCGGAGGACCTGGTGAAGGACTTCGAGGCCGGGCTGGAGTACGGCGTCGCGGAGGCCGTCGTGGACAGGAGGCAGGCGGCGGACGGCGACGGGGACGGCAAGTGGGAGTACCTCGTCAAGTGGGTGGACATTGAGGAGGCGACGTGGGAGCCCGCGGAGAACGTGGACGCCGAGCTCGTGCAGGAGTTCGAGCGGCAGCAGTCGGGGAACGGTGGCGCCGCACCGCCGGCGGAGACATTTGCCGGGTGACGGCGGCCGTCGATCGTGCTCGGTTCGCTCTTCGGTTTTGTCGTGTCGATGGAACGTCGCAGTATGTATCATTAGCGATCGAAGAGATTTTTGTGTGATTATTAATTAAGAAAACATTCTCATGAGATTGAGACATTGCAATCTTAAACAATCACGGTGAAGAGAGCCAACCAATTTGTGATAGGATGGTTAGAAGGGTCGTGGTATTTCTAACCCATCAGGATCCAAGTTCTAAACTCGATATTAGTGCTTGTATTTTTCTGAATTTATTTTAAGTCTTTCGATGACATGCGTTCAATGGAAAGAAGACGTTCCCGTCGATTATGAAGGTGTCTGTGGCGTGTTTGATAATCACAAATGATGTGCCGACTCGATCTTTCGGAGATGCTTATAGGGGTAGCGTGCACATATGTTTATAGGGATGAGCGTACGTGCATATGTATGAGCGGTTGTGTCTTTACTATGTTAACTCACAAAAACCGTACAAAGAAATGCGGCAGCAGCGGCTTGCATTCCATTGTGCAAGCCAACTTAAGGAAGAGAATGTTATATGGATAGCGCTTGCCGGTCGACCGGCCCAAATTTTGATCGGACATCAAGTAGCCGTGCGATTTGACCCACGTCATCATATTTCTTCCCTCATCTCGATAGTAGACGACGCATTGCCCGACTGCGCGTTGTCCCTGCCACAGTTCATTGTAGGAACAACTCGGTGTTCATGGCGCCGCTCGCTTCCTCGCTGCTGCATCGATACTAGCTCGTTGCCCCGACTCAAATCATCGACGAGGATGCTCACAACGCTGCTTGAAGTGCCGGGGAGAAAGCCCCTCGCAGCACATCCGAAGTGGTGCATGTATCCACCTCTGACTAGCGGCAGGGTCACGCCTCACAACAACCTCATCTGTCACGGTTGCTCGCGACGACAAAGCAGCGCGTCGCCTTTGGCGCCGGTGGGTGCCAGTTGCAGCACCCCGTTCCCCTTGTCGTCTCCAACATTTGCAGGTGCTGGCCCTGGCGAAAACCGCTGTCGGTTGTAGCAAAAATCCCAACGCCGGTTGTAGCAAAACACCAACAATCACGGATCCCCACAAAAAAAACAGTTGTCGCGCCGGTAGCAACACCCATGTTGGCTGGTTCCAGCATCCATGACCAAGGTTGCAGCAAAAATGGCTGACACTACCGTCGTAGCAACACGGTTGTCGTCGGTGGTAGCTATCTCTGTCGCCGATTGCAGCACTGGTTTTGCCCGCTTCAGCACTAGGTTGGCCAGTTGCAGCAAAACAGCTGATGTCGTCAATGGTAGCTATCGCTGTCATCGATTGCAACACTAGTTTGGCCGGTACCAACACTATGCTATCTGGTTGCATCAAAACGACTAATGTCGTTGGCGGTTCCAACGATGGCTGGCCGGTTGAAACAAAACCAGTTACCAGTTCCAGCATCATCGTTCGCAGCAGCGTCCCATTGCTGGTCATGTCCATCTCCGGGGTGAGAGGGTAGTTGGTGAGCAGGAAGGGGAGCAGGGCGACCACATGGAATGATAGAGAAAGAAGAGAGGAGTAGCTAGTCAGAGCGGGAGGAAAGAGGAGCAGGGAGGAGATCTGTCAGTGGTGGGGCTCACCGGAGAAGCCACGACGCACTCGGTGGAGCTAGGAACAGAGAGAGATGGTGGAGCGGAGATGGGTTGGATATAAAGGATGCGTGTGTGGGTATCTGCTCACTCTGTGCACCATACAAAAAATAAACCAAACCAAACCAAACCAAAAAACCATACCAAAATAAACCGAACCAATTTTACGGTTTTATGGTTTCTGGTTTCGGTATGGTATGAACTTTTTATACCGATTTGAACTTAGATTTTTATGGTATATACCGAAAAACCGAAGTAAAAAATAAATTTATATTTCTTGAGATGAACAACCATACAAGTTGTCATTTTTTTATACATGAGTCAAATTCCCTACTAAGCACATAATTTTTTCTTGTAACATAGTCATTTTTCTCTTTTTAAAATGCACGTCCATAACCATCAATAGATGAATCAATGCATGCATATATACTTACATATATAGTTATATATTATTTTTGTAAAATAGTATGTGTTTTGAGTCATAAATTTGCAAATTATTATTACGTCATTTTCAAATTCGCGTCAACTTTGGTTATCATGGTATATACCGAAACCATACTGAAATAATTTGGTATATCTTGAAATCAAACCATATTTAAATTTCATACCGTATTTACCGAAGTATTAATACCATACAAACCAAACAACCGTATAAACCGAACCATGTAAACCTAATAAACCGAACACACAGAGTGAGTATCTGCATGTGGGCCTCTACGGATGCATGACTACATTGCGAGGGTGGGGGATGTGGGATTTGGCACCAATCAACAGTGTGTGCGCGACCGGACTGGGACTCGGCCAGCCGGTCAATCTACAACGTTTACCTTCCATATAGTGTTTCATTTTCTCTCCCACAATTTAACAATTTGTCAGTCATCCAAGAATTCTTCTGCCTCACTCGATTTTACTTCACTAAATTGTTCATGTAAACCTAAAATATATATTCATCATGACGTAAATCAAGCCGATATGGTTAATCCCGAATTCACTATCCAAACTAAATATATGTTACTATGCACATATAATTTTACCTTTTTTTGTTTTAAGATGTGTGTTTGAAATTTTATGGCATGATTGATATATGTTGTGCTTGTGTCCTCCAATTTCCAGATTTTTTTAAGAATGATATTTCTAGACGGGAGGAGTACCAAGAGTGTGCCCGCATGTAACCCATCTCGGAATTACAAAAGCAAGTCTTATAGGCAGGCAAACGGTTAATCAAAACGATAATTCATCTTTGAGCCCGGCTCATCTAACCTTGGTGAATAGTAAAATCATTAAAACTGCAAAAAGATTAAAAAAATTCTGATTTTTTTATGGTGCAACATGCTTGAGTGTGTGATGCTCGTGCTAAATTTGGTGAAGTTTGGACATCCAAGGAGCATGTGAGAAAAAAAAACAAAATGACCTTCAAACAGTGCGGAATTTAAACTTTCTCGCATGTCTGAATTTTCCTTTTTTTTGGCCAAGAGCTTCTCAAATGTCCAAACTTCACCAAATTTGGCACGGACATCACACACTCAAACATCTTTCACAACATAAAATGAAATATTTTCTTGATCAGAGCCCGGGAGCGAAAACGTCGCTCCGTAACCTAAAGGGCTCTCTCCGACGACACTGACTATTCGACTAGATAGCTTGGGTAAGAAGGCCACCCTAACATACATCAATTTCATCCCTAAACTCTTATTGTATGGTCAACTGATCATTGTCAATAAACAATGCAATGTTGTATCTATATCTATATCTATATCTATACCAAAATAAAAAGACTCAAAGAAGCAGATTCAACAAATCTCAGCCATCAAACAGCGTCAATTCAATGACCTATATTGCTTCAATGCCGAGGGCTCAATATGTTTAGCATGCAATTAATAACATACCAAATATAGACTATCCACATAATTAACTTGTAATGATATCCTACCTAATATTAACTTGTAATTAATTTTCTGCTTCATATCAACATGTAAATTAATTTTCTGCCATATATCAACCTGCATTGTACGTACCCGGGTAATTACCATTGAACATATCTAAAAGATATGATGTGAGCGTATCTCAAGGATACGCTTACTAAGTGGGGCTTTAACTCTCACGCAAGGACTCTATATAAGCACAACATCATCCATCCTCCTGGACATACTCTGCCCTAGCAAACGAAACCCAACACTATCTACCCATCCTCGAGCTTTATCAAGAAACCATCACATACCATGGTCGCCAGGCATGCCACCCTGTGTTTCCTCCTATTTCTCGTGTTGCACGGAGATCCTACTGCAGTGGCCGGTTCGTGTTCTCTTTCTCTATCTCAAAATGTCTCTGATTTAGTACAAAATTATGAATGGGGTAGTATATTGTTGTGAATTTTATGAACATTTTCATGTGTTGATTTCGTGCAGAGGATTGCAGATACAGGAACGATAAGCTGCCGCTATGCCAGGACGTTTTATGCAAGACGCAGTGGTGGCTGCAGGGGGCAGTGGTGAACGCCGAAGTAAAAGAGTCCAGATGCGTGGGATCAGGGCCAGGCTCCACCTGCTACTGCCTCTTCTGCAAAAAAGATTGAACCTTCTTAAGGTTCCTGCCTAGTGCCTAGCGTCAAGGCCATCCTTAGAGATGAAATCCTACCGAGTTTAATTGTTGTTAAAAATCGTGTACTAGCCAGTAGTGTTATCTTTTTTGGGGAAATCAGTGGATCCTTTTATATCTAATTTTGTGGGGTAGGAAATCAAACAGCGAATAAAAAAAAAACCAAATTCAGCTCCCGTGGGTATGCCTAGGAGATTTTTAAGGAAATTTTGTGCAATCAGGCTTGCATGCAAGATTTTGATGCGCTTCACTTTTGTAATCTGAATGATCTAGGATTTGAAGGTGATGTGTTCACCTGGCGTAATAAGAATTTCAGAGTTGAGGGGTATATTAGAGGGACGAGACTTGCCTGCTTCCCATGCGTGCTCCCATCCATGCTCCCGCGTACGTGGCTTGATTTGATTGGAACAAAATAAGGTCTAGCCTTACCCCTTAAAATCAGGAAGGAAATAATTAGATTAAAAAGGAAAAAAAAAGAGCGTCCGGATCGTGTTGTGGCATCAGCGGAGTGGTGTGCTAGGTTCTCTATGTACAAAGTAATAAATGGCAACCCTGAGCATTCAGATCATCGGCCGGTTATCCTGCTGCTCGAAGGAAGCCAACGTCGCAAGAAACAGAAGGAGGGAGACCGCAGATTCAGGTTTGAGGCAAAATGGCTTCTTGAGGAAGGATGTGATGGTATTGTGGGGCAGGCATGGGTGGCTGCGGGGAGTGTGGATGTTGGGGAGCGGCTGGCGGCGGTGAATAGGGCCATTTATAAGTGGAGCCGTGAGGT